AGGTATATCAATTTGTGCATATTATAATATATGTATTAGCTATAGCTATATAATAGATTAGCTTAGATTTAGCTTTAGCTTCGCTCGAGTGCATCTAGGTACGTTTTAATTTATTTCATCGGAATCCTATTTTTTTTTCTAAAATAAAAGCAGCCTAAGTTACTCCTTATAACATCAGCTATCTGTCTGTGAAAGTCCCGTCAAAATCAGTCCAGCCGTTTTAGAGATTAGCCAAAACATACAGAGACAGATAAAAAAATTAAAAATTGTGTTTTTCGTTATATTTTAGCAACAGAATGTATACTAGTAAGGCTATCTATGATATTACTGTTAACTTGTTATAATTTTAAAATATAGAGTCTGTCGTTCTCTGAAAGTACACGCATTATATTATTTTTCTTATTAGTACCATATATAATTTCATGTGCATTATAAAAAAAATGTTATATTGACATTACAAACAGACACTTCAATTATATATTTTATTTGTATAGATAAGATAATATTAGCTATTTATTTGTACTAATTTTTTTCTTAATAAACGCTATGACAAATAATACCCACATCTAAACTAGAAAATCTACACAAATCCTGAAATCGATTAAAAGCCCTTAATATAATATTTAGGAACAAACGAACAAATGTAGCGCCTACTTATTTAGTATATCAATATTATATATTCACGTAAGTGCTATTTATTTACAGAAGGCAATACGACAGTCATGTTCTAAGTATGTAATGCTCTTTAAAATAATTGTAATTTGTATTAATGTACTACTTTGAATAATAAATTTCAAATAAAAAGCTTAATTTGATTAAATAAATAAAACTTTTTAATTTCTTGTCAACAAATCAATCTGGAATTGTAATAAGGGACAAAAAATTTAAATGATAAATATATTTTAATTGCCTGAACATTGATACTGCAATAAAATACACAGCTATATTTTTTTGTTTTACATTTTATTATTATACCTACTTATACATCTTGAAGTATTAAAATATACTAACCTCACATAAATGTTCAATAGACCAGAAATAATGTTATTTAGGTACAAATGGCTATTTACGAGGTCTTAAATTTCACTTAATAAGCCTATTTTTCCTCAGCCGATCGAATAAGCTTATCTAATAAAGAAGAGTCTGGGAAAGCATAATCTGGGTCGTAAATGGAAGAGTCCAAGGTCTTATTTTGTACATCAATTATCTCTTCACAGTCACTTTCACCGACAAATTCGAAAACACCGTCAAATACAAAATGGAAAACATCCGAAAGCGTATACTTTCCAAGCCTTTTAAAAAGCCTTACTTTAAATTCGTGTAATATGGATCTTATAAATTTTACCATTTCAATACCAAGATCAATAACAATGTCTCTAAATTGAGATTTCAAAAAGGTGATGATGGAGCCAATATTTCCAAAACTGTTGGAAATGAGAGAGTTTATATCTAGCTCTCCTGTGTTTAAGTTAAACGATCTAGCGTTTCTAGTTAATTCAGTAGCTGCTGCGATGTTGTTGTTGAGAATGTATACTAATACAACTAATAATATTGTTGGTCGAAGCATCTGAAATACAAGAATTATAATTAACGCATGTTTCACTCAATTTATTAAAGACTAGCTTGCTTCCCAATACAAACTTTCATCCGCATTTTCACTCCCTTAAGGGACGATTTCCCAGGGTCTCAAACTATCTTCTTACCAAATTTCATCTAAATTGGTTCAGTAGATCCAGATATTAACCCCTACAACGTCACAAACTCACAATGCGAAAACTCACAAACTTAACCTCTTTATAATATTAGTATTATATGATCTGTGGTATAGATAAGAATTTTATTATTTGAGCAAAATGCAAAATTAAATAATAAAAAAAAATGCAAAATCTTACCTTGTTTGAAATCCTTGTAAGTACAGTGGCAAAGAGTGGGATACAATATGAAATAATCAATATGCAAAGCTTTTTATAAATACATATAATACCTAATTTATTAATAGGTTATGTGCATTAGCTAATCACGTTTTATAATTTATTAATTTATAAATTGCGTATGTCATGACTACCAAGAATGTTATTAAAATTCTTGGAGTCATTATATATTTTTACTAATGATCTTTCTCGTTTTGGTCAAACTGTAAAATCGCTGAAGTGTCCGTAGTACCCAATTCGTTCATTTTTGCTTGGCACATATTTACCAATTATATTTGAATTCATCATTATCATCATTATCATATTTAGTCTGCTCTTAGGCATAGGACTTTCCTGAAGTCCTATGGCATGCCACTGAGCTCGATTTTCAGCTCTACGCATCCAACCGCTGCCAGCCAGTTTACGTATATCGTCGCTCCAGCTAGCTGGAGGGCAACCTTTGGAATTTGACTTTATATTTTTATATGATATTTTCCTGCATTAAAAAGTATTCTATACGTTGCTCCAGATAACCAATAATCATCAGATTCGGCCTCTGTATCGACAATAATAAATAAATAAATATGTTGGGACATTAACATACAGCACCATCTAGTTCCATGGTAAACTAAGAGGCCTGTGTTATGGATACCAGATAGTTGTTTTCCAGATACATTTGGATGAAATGAATTCTAAAAGTAATCTAATCTGAATTAAGTTTCATTTGTTAAAAGAGGTTGAATTCAATGACAATGATAATAGAAATAATTCGTAATGCGTGCACACATATGGACAAACGAACCAATATGTATAAATATAATAAATATAATATAATGATATGTACAATGTACTTATAAGCTAACTTCATACACGCCGATGTTACAGTGTGAAAAACAGTTATTAAAGCACGGCAAAAAAATATTTTTTAATCAAAAAATAAACACGTCTGTAAATGATTTGAATGAACAAATGAAGGATTCGTTTAAAAAACATATAAATTATCCTCCTAATAGAAATAACATAGCAATGTAAGATACCTACATTGCTATGTTTTTTGTCTAAGGAGTATTTTATTATACAGATGGTGTCTATTTGGAATGTTAAAATAACAGATTTTTACTAAATGCATATGAGATTATTATGTACATACGGTACTTATAAGAAAACCACAATTTGGAGTAACAACAAGGAGTACCTAACTCATTCAAAATTATAAAAAAAAAAAATTGGGTTCCTTTAAAAAAAATACCTAGGGACGCAACCGAACGAAGCAAGAATAAGTCGCTAGTTAATAATATTTAATTAAAATCACATAACGAAACCGCTCAGTGTAGTATTCACTTGTAATTTTAATAACACTAACAAATTCTAAGGAAACTTTTCACTTTAGTGTCATCAACCAAATGAGAAGCAAAAACACTTATAAAAATACTAGGGACTTACCTTATATCCTACTCCCTAGTAACCTAATACCTGTCTGCAAGTCACAGTATATACCTACTCAATTCTCATATGCATGGGCAGTGGCAGAATTATTTCAAGGGGGGATGCATCTGCTTTTTTACATAAAACTACTATTTATCTTTTAACTAGCGAAAAACAGAATCGCCTAAACCGCACATTTTTCCGTTATAAAAATTAGCCTATGTTCATTAAAATCCATACAGTAGTTTTTGCGTGAAAGAGTAACAAACATCCATACATCTATACATCCAGACATCCATACATCCTCACAAACATCCGTATAATTTTAGTGAGATGATTAACTTTATAATTTTTATTCATATCTTATCTATCGTGTTTTTTTGAAGATATCTAAATTTAAACAGGGATTTTACTCATATAATTTTATTTCTTTAACATTTTCTACATATTTTCCTTTATGGCAGAGGGGTGCACCCATTCATTATTTAACAAAAATTAGCTCATATGTCACGTCACGCGCAAATATTCTGTAAAAAATAACATAGCAGGGTCTGGTTTGTTCGTGCATATATACGTAAAGTGATCAAGAATAGCTACGATATTAACAACGTTGATATTCTTTATTGATATAAATTAAAATATATTCGCACAGTTACAGAGTTCGAATAACAAACTATTTATTTCATTCGAATGTAATATGCATATATGAGTACACACATGCTATTATAAAAAGCGTCTTCAGTGTTTATTTAAAACTCTTAACGGGTTTTTGATTAATTACAATAAAAATTTAAAACTTTTTCGAAAATACACAATCAAAATTTATATAACTATTTACAAAAATAAAAATATCCCGACTTGTGCAGTTATTCTAAAACATGTGCATATACATATATATGTATGCTTCCGACTGCATAATACTATGTTCCTTCGTCAACTTGTTCTCTGTTTAATTTTTTATTTACAGCTTTTTAGTTTTTGTCATTTAGACATTTTTAGTTTTATTTAACAATTTTTTATCCAAATTATTACCCAAAAATGATAGCCCAGGAGGGTTAATGTCAGGCAGGAGGCCGGTCAGATTTTAATAATACTAAAAATAATAAACGGTCGGATTTTAATAATATCTAAATAGCATAATATGACACTCGCGTTATCAAGACAAATTGAATGACGTTTTATTTATCAAAATCGGTTAAGCCGTTTAGTAATTACGAGGGAACATAGAATCGGACATACATACATACAGGACAAACACATTTGTCCTTCTATCACGTCGAAACAGAGTGACGAATAGACGTGACTTCTTGTGTGAGTATTTGGAGGGCTGGAAAGTGACTTAGGCTACTTTTTACCGCGGGAGATTATGTCATTCCCATGGGAAAACACAAATCTGGATATGTAATAAGGGACAAAAAGTTTAAATGATAAATATGTTTTAATTGCCTGAATATTGATACAGGTATATGAACGGGTTTGAATTTAATAATGTGCGCCTGCAATAAAATACACAGCTATATATTTTTTTTACATTTTGTTATTATACGTACTTATACATCTTAAAGTATTAAAATATACTACCTCACATAAATGTTCAATTAACCAGAAATAATGTTATTTACAAATAGCTATTTACAAGGTCTTAAATTTAACTTAATAAGCCTATTTTTCCTCAGCCGCTCGAATAAGCTTATCTAATAAATAAGGGTCTGGGAAAGCATAATTTGGGTCGTAAATGGAAGAGTCCAAGGTCTTATTTTGTACATCAATTATCTCTTCACTGTCACTTTCACCGACAAATTCAAAAACACCGTCAAATACAAAATGGAAAACATCCGAAAGCGTATACTTTCCAAGCCTTTTAAAAAGTCTTACTTTAAATTCGTGTAATATGGATCTTATAAATTTTACCATTTCAATACCAAGATCAATAACAATGTCTCTAAATTGAGATTTCAAAAAGGTGATAATGGAGCTAATATTTCCAAAACTGTTGGAAATGAGAGAGTTTATATCTAGCTCTCCTGTGTTTAAGTTAAACGATCTAGCGTTTCTAGTTAATTCAGTAGCTGCTGCGATGTTGTTGTTGAGAATGTATACTAATACAACTAATAATATTGTTGGTCGAAGCATCTGAAATACAAGAATTATAATTAATGTATGTTTCACTCAATTTATTAAAAGCTAGCTTGCTTCCCAATACAAACTTTCATCCGCATTTTCACTCCCTTAAGGGATGATTTCCCAGGGTCTCAAACTATCTTCTTACCAAATTTCATCTAAATCGGTTCAGTAGATCCAAATATTAACCCCTACAACGTCACAAACTCACAATGCGCAAACTCACAAACTTAGCCTCTTTATAATATTAGTATAGATATAGTCTTATATGATCTGTGGTATAGATAAGAATTTTATTATTTGAGCAAAATGCAAATTTAAATAATAAAAAAAATGCAAAATCTTACCTTGTTTGAAATCCTTGTAAGTACAGTGGCAAAAAGTGGGATACAATATGAAATAATCAATATGCAAAGCTTTTTATAAATACTTATAATATCTAATTTATTAATGGGTTATGTGCACTAACTAATTACTTTTTTATAATTTATTCATTCATAAATTGCGTGTGTCATGACTGCCAAGAAATATATTATTTAAAGGTAAAATTCTTGGAGTCATTATATATTTTTACTAATGATCTTTCTCGTTTTGCTCAGACTCTAAAATCGCTGAAGTGTCCGTAGTACCCAATTCATTCATTTTTTGCTTGGCACATATTTACCAATTATATTTGAATTCATCATTATCATATTTAGCCTGCTTTCGTCCACTGTTAGACATAGGACTTTCTGAAGTCCTATGGCACGCCACTGAGTTCGATTTTCAGCTCTACGCATCCAACCGCTGCCAGCCAGTTTACGTAAATCGTCGCTCCGCCTAGCTGGAGGGCTACCTTGGGAATTTGACTTTATATTTTTATATGATATTTTCCCGCATTAAAAAGTATCCTATACGTTGTTCCAGATAACCAATAATCATCATACCAAATTTTATCAAAATCTGTCTAGTTGTTTTCTCGTTAGGCGTTAGACAAACGGAAATTCTAAAAACTATAGATTCGGCCTCTGTATCGACAATAATTACTATTTCAATACGATTTTCCACAAAAATATTCAATGTACAGATTCAACTCAGTTACAATTTTATTATATGTATAGATTATGTATAAAATATCTTGGCCCTCGAGCCCAACTCACACTTGGGCAGTTTTTATTATTTTAAACAAATATAGACTTGGGCAGTTTTTATTATTTTAAACAAATATACACATAGTAATAAGCAGTAATGTTTTAAATTTATAGCAATTACATACAAATTTTCCCTAAATTAGTATTAGTACTTTTCAATTCGTATTTTATATTATACTTATTTCTTCGTCTGTCTGCCTGTCTGTCTGTTACGTTTTCACGCGTAAACCTCAACCAATTTTGATGAAGTTGGTATAGAGAGGAAGGGAATCTTGGAGAAGGACATAGGATAATTTTTGTCGCAAAAAAAGAAACTTGAAATTGATGAAATGGGTGTTGAAAGTTTGTATTGGAAACAAATGATTTATCAAGTTAAGGACAAAGAAATCATTATATCGTACATTTTAAGAATACTTCGGCGTTTATGACCAATCAAGGTAAAAAAAATCTAAAATCATAGGGGATGATTTCAGATTTTTTGAAATAGGTACTTACCATTATTTCTATTCCTATGTACATCTTATAAAAGAAATTGAGTTGAATATAAATTATAAATCATACTCATATCACATCATACTCTTGATCTGAGCTTATGAGTAAAATGCATACCTACCTATAGCATAACTTTTTTGGTGATTTTTGCTGCTGTCATATCTCATTCGTAGACTATTAATTAGTAATTACACTTTTATTATTCTTATTAAACGAGCATATTTATTATGAATCTATTATTTGATCCCTTTTTTAACTTAATTATGTTACAAATATTGTTAAAGTTTTTTAAACAATAATGTTTCGTTTACATTATATTATTGAATGATGTGGTAACCTATAAAAAAAGTGCAAACAAGCAAACGAATGAATGAATGTAACTTTTGCTGGTTATCCTGTCCTATGGACCTATAAAAAGTAGATATAAACAATAGATGATGCACAGGAGGCGGCCTTATCGCTATAAGCGATCTCTTCCAGGCAGGCTTTTCTTACGCTATTAACGAAAGAAAACACCGATTTTTACTTTGCTGTGTGGTTGTTGATTCGAGCATTATTAACTACAGAACTCGGGTGAAACCGGAGCTGGTTGTTAGTACACAATAAAAGATCACATCTTTTAACAAAAGTTACATAAAATAATGGAGAGATAATTCGCTTCATTGCTAATTATATCTCACATGCTATTGTTCATTACCTAACCTTATAATTATCTTTAAGTAAAGTTACACAATGCAAGCCAGATAATTACTCTATATACATATATCATATTGTAGACTTAGTATTTTTTCCATACAAACTCTATGATTCATATACTATTATATATATTACAGCATTCCCCGCGTCTCCACACGCGTTCATATGACCAAGAACCAAATAAAATAACGCTATTGTTATTTATTTTCAAGATAAGCTATTTTTAATAGTTTTTGCCTTATTTATTAAATATATATAGTATTATATATATATATATATATATATATAACATATATTATATTGTATTCAGCCCTTTTTATCGTCCCACTGCTGGGCACGGGCCTCCCTTCAGTACGAGGGGGATCAGGCCATAGTCCACCACGCTGGCCAAGTGCGGGTTGGCGGACTTCACATGTCTTTTGAAAACTTGCTAGGTTCTCTCAGACATGCAGGTTTCCTCACGATGTTTTCCTTCAGCGTTAAGACAAGTGGTAATCATGTTGGAAATGAATCGCACATGAAAATATCAGAGGTGCGAGACCCGGGATTTGAACCCGCTTCACTCGGTTTCCCAAGCGAGCGCGGTACCACTGGCTATATAATACATATTATTTATAATATACACTGGCGTGCAAAAAAATCGGGCCACCCTTAATTTTAAGCATAATTTTTTGTTGACAATTGTTTGGTGAAAAAAATACCGCAAAGGTAATTAAGGAGATTAGACGCCTTTGTTTCCTTCAAAAAAGTCGTAGAATTCCTGGAAATGCAATGCAATTATAGTCAATTAGCAGTAATTAGTGAATATTTGAATAATATGGATTGAAGCCACAAATACTGTTTTTTGTTATTTTAGAAGCTTAGTTGAGTTCCAATTATTAAACAAGACACTTCTACTTTGATCTGCGATTATTAGAAATACTGCAAGATGGATCTGACCGAGGCTGAATCATCTCGAATTGTGACTTTGCTTGAAACTGTACAAAGTCAACGTCAAGTGGCTCAAGCTTTTTTTTTTGAGCCGTTCTACAGTCCAGAGAGTGTACAAATGTTACATAGAGACTGGTGGCTTTGTACGACGACATGGTTCCGGCCGACGAAGAGCCACATCAGAGTGTGATGATCGATTTATTGTGTCATCAGCTCTAAGAAATCGTCATCGCACAGGGGTTGACGTTCCAAATCTCCTGAGAAAAGTGAGAGGTGTTAATGTTAGCGAGTGTCAAAGTTAGAAGTCGCGTAGTAGTCCCGAGCAACATTCAAGAATTAAAAAGCGCCTTATTGGAAGAATGGGAGTCTATTACACAAGATTATCTAAAAAAGTGTGTCAAATCTCTGAAAAACCGATAAAAAGCTGTAATTAAAAATAGAGACGGTAATACGCATTATTAAAAATCATAAAACCAATCGAAATCTTTTAATTTTCCCATTCATTTGCGGCTTACATTTTTATACCAAATTCGCGAAAAATCATTAAATTTGATTTTCCTCTATTTTCGAGCAATAATTTTTATTTAAATTATTCAACTATTATTGATTTAGGTACCTACCTAGGGTATACAGCTACCCATATATAATAACAAAATTAATGAAAAAAATATCATATCTTAAGTTTGTCCATTTTCTCTAGGTGGCCCGATTTTTTTGCACGCCAGTGTATATTATATATATATTTTGCTAAAATATATATAGTATCATCGTGGTTTTATTCTAACCAGTTTTTGTATTTTTTCTCAGAAATGAGATATTTTCCCGCGGTAAAAAGTATCCTATATGTTGACCCGGATAACCAACTATGACCATACTAAACTTCATCAAAATCAAAAAGTAAAAATGCAAATGTCAAAAAATGCTGTGATGCGGTAACAGACAGACAGACAGACAAAAATTCTAAAAACTATACATTCGGACTCTGTATCGATAATAATGTCTATTTCAATAAGATTTTCTAAAAAATATTTGATGTACAGATTCGGCTTAGTTAGAATTTTATTATCTTTATATATATAATTCTTCTGTGAGTGTGTATGTCACTGAACTTCTCTCAAACGACTGGACCGATTTTGATGAAATTTTTTGTGTGTATTCAAGGGGATCTGGGAATGGTTTAGATTCACAATTTGAATAATAATTTTCATCAAAAAAATTATTAAAAAAAGTTTGAAATTTTCAAATTAAAGACGTGTAGACAGGACTACGTCTGTCGGGTCCGCTAGTATGTATAGATAATCACAACATAACATTATCTTCTCCGTGTCTGTCAGTTTACCGCATTTTTATCTCGATAACGACTAATCCGTTTACCATTATTTGCTTTACATATTAAAATACATTATCTGGTCTGGGTTACATAGATAATAATGTAAATCTTGTTAACAAAGGTAGAAAAATCACAATACATACAGCGCGGTTTTTAGGACGCGCGTAACACACAGGTTTAATAAATAATAAATGCCTTGTATATTGGTAGTGTCTGGCATGTGTGACTACAGATCTTTAGATCGGAGGTTTCGTCATTTCGCTGTCGTAGGTCCGATTGTCAGGTCGGGCGAAGTATTGGGGTTTGCTATAAAGAAATTCTAAATAAAAGTTCAGTTGAGAAGTTGGTGGTATTTCACCTCCGTGCATTGGAGAGCAAATAAAGCTGATCGCTCGCGCCTGATCTCTCACCTGTCTTGTCGAACTGACCTGACTTTGAGAATGAAAGGAATAGAGAGTGCACTTTAATATCATTGCAGTATCTTGTGCATTTATTCTATATAAGAGATGTGAATAAGATCTTGTAAGATAAATTTCTTACGTTGAGATTAATTGGAAATACACACATGAAGAAAGAAAGAAGAACAAAATATATAATCTAATCTATGACAAGATTTCAGTAACCTATTTTTAATACTATTTCTAAATGATTCAATTACTATTATATTCATATCTTTATTAACGGTTGACGTAAATCAAGTTAAATATATTAATTCGTTAAAAAAATAATAAAGTAAAAAAAAAGTATAATAAAACGATTTTTTATTACCTTTACTCAAAAACGAAACATGAAGTACTCGTAGGTTTAAGAAAACATTCACATTTATTTTTAACTAATTTTTTTTTCAAAATTCCATTTATAATATAAAAGTAGTTTGTTAAGAAAAACAAAATTCCGTATATATGCACTTGAAACAACTTTTCAAATTATACCAAAAATATTTTTTGGACCATATATTTCCTCTTTACGTAGTTTGTGGCATTGATACATTGAAAGAAAGCCCTTATTTTTTTTACTATTTTTGTCATTCTTGTTTTTTTAGATTAATAGTAATCAGTCAATTTTAAGTTATTTGAAACATTGTTAGTAGCTACTTATGTACAATTTTGATCACAATAAAACGATTTATACTATCAGATGTAACGATGATGAAACCAGAATATGGATAGTGGAACTGTTCAAAGGTTTAATTAAGGTGCAAAGGTTAAAAGTTAAACTCAAATAATCTCATTTCAATTTTTTTAGAGTTCACATAGGTATAAAACAATTGATCAAAAGCATGTCTTTTAATTAACTTGTTTTAAAATGTACTTCTTTACTTAATTTTAATAAAAGTGGCAACACTTATAGTTCTCGAACCCGCTACCTCCAGTGTAATACGAGTACAAAGTCCAGAACCAGTCAGACATGGTTCAAGACGATAAACGACTATTTATATCACTTAATACAGCAGCGGCAATCTTTCTTTAGATAGTGCAGTAGAACAGGCTATTTTGACTTTTTGGTTCTATTTCCTACGTTTTAGTATAAAAATAATTTTTATATTATTCAAGATTTATTTATTTAAAAAATAGATTATATGGAATGAGTTTAGAGGTTAGAGTTTAAAAAAAACATTTTGTTATGGAAAAAAGAATATCATTAACTAATATTTATTTATCTATACTTATATTATAAAGAGGTAAAGTTTGTGAGTTTGTGATATTGTAAGAGGTAATCTCTGGATCTACTGAACCGATTTGGATGAAATTTAGTAAGAAGATAGTTTGAGACCATGGGAAGGACATAGTTATAAGAGGGGCATAGGACTTTTTATCCCGGAAATCATCCTTTAAGGGGGTGAAAATGGGGATGAAAGTTTGTATGGGGAATCAAGCTAGTGACGAACCCGAGCGAAGCGAGGGTGAGTCGCTAGTATTTTTATAAATTCCCCTCTGACTTGTTCGTTACTTACTTGATTTCACTTTCGCGAGGACCTACGACATTCTGGCCTTTAGATTGAACCCTTCGCTTATTTATTGATCAGTAAGTCAGCAATGATGTGTCTAGTTTTGTAAGTTTTGTATGTATCCGCTACTTCTAACTCGATTTTGCCTGCAACTTAAATGCATGAGAGGCTATGCTATCAGCTTATTACTAAGATGGCTTAAGTTTGATCGCTCTGAGGTCTTGCTCTGTAATTAATGTAATAGTTTATATTATCAAGTGGTATATAAACACCGAACTATATATGTATGTACAATAACATCATTCTTTCTACAATCTTTTTCGGTGTATGCCGCATTGCTCTGGAACAAACTTCCGAAAGACATCCAATTAAGCCCTTCTATAACTGCCTTTAAAAAGAAAATAAAACAGCACTTTCTCACCCAAGTTATTCCACAAAAATTATATTAACTACTATTATTATATAGATATGTATTTGTGTATGTAGTAGTATATGTTATGGTATATAATATGTGTAATGTTTTGTTATATGTATATATAATATATATTTATTTAAGTATTTACATTTGAGTTACTGCACTTTAGCCTGCATTTTAATACTATCTCTCTAACTCACTTAGGTTGACTGGAAGAAATCTCTTCTAGAGATAAGTCCACCTTTGCTAACTAATTTTATTGTTTGTTACTCTCTGTATTTTACATATAAGTGCAATAAAGAATAGTATATAACATAAGTTTCTGTATGTGTTTCAAGGTACGCGATTAAAAATTAAATTAGTAACAAATTTATGTTATTTTTTGATAATAATTCGATTTTAAATTAATGTAAATGACTCTCCTAATTTCGCCCACAGAAGTTGAGGAGAATGCTTAAATATACAGGGTCATTTTTAATTTACTGAAAACCTTTTAGGAATATACTATTTACATCATAACAACAACATCTCTAAGAAAGAAAAATAAATTTCTTAAATTTTACAAAAATAAAAATATTTTTATTGCACCTTCCAAACGGTAATAGACCAACATTAGCAAAAGAAAGCGTGTGGCCATTGGAGGGAGAGGGGTGGAGGGTGTGTAGGAAGCAGCGCTTACTCATTTGAACTTAGCCAGATGCTAGAATTTTACCGTTTACAAGGTGCAAGAGAAATATTTTTATTTTTGTATGAAAATAAAAAATTAAGAAATATATTTTTTTCTTGTTACAGATGTTGTTGTTATGATGTAAATAGTATATTCCCAAAAAGTTTTCAGTAAATTAAAAATGACCATGTATATTTATTTCTTACTTTATTTTACCCATTGGATATTATTTTTTTATTGAGTTTAAATTTTTCTGGAAAATAAGATCCACAATTTATAATACTCAGCCCGGAATAGATATATTTTATCTTTATTCAGCCTCGAATGCCAAAATGTAAGTAGCATCGATTGTAAAGTAGAACCTTGTATTAAGGTCGCAAGTTTGTTGTTTTCCTATAAAGAAACGCTTTTTAATTTTGAATTCTGGCCACGACTTAAATTATTTAAAAAAAATCTTAAAATTAATACTAACGTACTAACATAGTTGTACGCTTGTTTAATATTCTTAGTAATGGTTACTTGAAATGCATAATTTATTATTAATATACAATCTGCGTAGATTATCAGTTTCTTTAACTTCAACATGTCAACAACATCTGTAAATGTAGTTAATGTTTTCCCATGAAATAATTTTCCTATATCGTCAGCCGTTATCATATAAACATTAATTTAATTAGAGAAAGGTCAACGATATGAAAAAAGGTGATATATGAATCAAAATAAAATATAATACGTTTGTTTTCAATCGGGCTAACAAAAATCAACTTTAATTGGATAATCCATGGATGTGATTTACATGTAGAGTGGCAATGAGCGAGGCCGAGCCGGTGTCGCTTATGCCTGCGCTTGCGCCTTCAGTCGCATATAATAGTTCGTAGCGACCCGGTGTTGCACGCGCGTTTTCTACTATATCGTGACATGCACTGAAATTATTATAATTTTAATAAGTTTATTAACTTACTGCTTAAGTGTAATAAATGGGCGAAGTAAATAAACTCAACACCTTCCCCGACATTATGAGAAAGTGTTTTAAGATGGGACTTTTTAAAAGTAAGTACTTGTTTTGTGTGTATAATCTTTAAAGTATAAGGTACAAATAATCCATATTTTAAGTGTATCTGTACAATGTACATACATAAATTAATAAATTAAACTTTTATTAAAACAAACAATCTAAATACCTACCCTTATTTAGGTAAGAAACGGTAACATCTCTAAAATTATAAACATATATTTTTAATTACAAAGTTATACTATAATTATTATTTTTGCGTTACGCGCTTTATATCAAACATGATCGTTAATTATTTTAAAAACTTTTGAATCACCAACGTAGATTAATAGAATTAACAACATTGGCGTATATATCAAATAAGAACTTTCCTTAAGTTTTTTTTCAGTAAAAAAGTTACATACACTGTAGGAAATTAATGGATAGATATGTACATAAAATGATTATTTAAAATACGGCTGTTGCTGTTCGTACTTAAAATAAAGACGAATAAAAAATAATTATTTGTACTTTATATTATTTTAATAGGACAAATAATAAGTAAAGGAGGCTATTGTTATTCGTCCGATAATTGGATGAATAAAAAATATAGTTTTATTCGTCCGACTATTGTAGGTTTTTACGAATATTTACCACTTTTTTGTTTTCTAATGTAAAATAAGTGATTTTTAGGTGCAGGAGTTTCTATATGTAAAAAAATAACTTTTAACCTAGATTTACGCGAATATTTGACATTTTAAATGAAAACTTATTCTTTTAAATTCCAATAATTTTTAAGTTCAAGAGTTTTTAAGTTTAAAAAATATTTTTAGGTGCAGGAGTTTCTGTATGCAAAAAAACCCTACTACCGAGTTGAGCCGAGCTACTTATTCTACTTACTTGTTTATTAGTCTTTTTTGTCCTTCTTTATAATTTATATATTATAAAGGACGAATAATTATTTTTTATTCGTCCTTTATAAAATATATAAATTAGACACTTCGTTAAAATAATATGACAATAGGTCAAGTTTAAATTGTATTCTAAACGTAATACTATGTTTACTTTTCACAAAAAAGTCATCAAGCGATTTTCATGATTTTCCATAGCTATGCACATATTCCAAAAAAATTCTATCCTAATGATGAATTAATGATTAGTGAAGTGATTTTAGTAATAGTTTTATAGAAGTCACTGTGTATTAGTTATAATACTTACCTTATAATTTAAAAACCAATTTTTTATTTTAATTAACCGGTACCTTTTTAATTAAAAAGTAATTATTGTATCATTCAATAATTTATCTTAATTGAACTAATTATTGCTTATGAAAACAAGTTTACGTAATTCAAAGAAGATATTAAATATCATATCAAGACGATACAGAATATGTCATGTTTATTTTTTCAACCACTTGCGAAAACAAGCAAAGAATTTCCACGGCTGAACTTATAGCTCCAAAGTAGAATGAATAACAGAGATTAATTAAAATAAATACTTACTTTATACCGGTTAAGAGTGACTCAAATTCAAATGAAGAAGGGTTTCGATCCTAAAATAATTCACAACTTTTATGGAGCATGAAAAAACATTTTTTATGGAAGTTAAAATGTTGTTTAAAATTATAATTACATCGTGCGTCCACTCTTTTTACATTTCAAATTAGGATTCAATCACTTCTCTTTTATATATTTTATTGAATTACATAATAATAATAAGATATATACCTATGTATCAACTTAACAATTCTTTTTGACTTTTTACCTAAAATAGTATATAAAAAATTGCTATTTTCATCCATACCAGTAAGAAAAAGTGTGTTAATTAGGCAAAAGTAGGTTGTGATAAACTTATCAGAATTCATATTTTTATCGATTGTACATTTATGACTATTCATATATGTACAATCGACAAAAAAATATTCTCATAAGTTAAAAACCAATTTCTTACTCTCTATTCTATAATAGAGAGTAAGAAATTAGTTTTATGCTGTTTATACGTATTTTGTCTACAATTGAAACATCACAATTAAAGCTTTAAAACTTTTTAACTAACTTTTATGAAAAATCAACTTCGTTATGTAATAAAAATAAATATTATGTTGATAATACCCCGCACGCTGGCCCTATTTATTATAATCAGACGTACACGACAGTATCTTCATACTTTATTATTATTTATTTCTCACGTATGTCATTAAGTAAATATATCAAGATCAATAAAGTGTATTCATTCTAATTATGTTCAAGTTTAATTCATATAAAATTGAAATAAAATTCTTACAAGGAAACCATTAGTCTTTCTTCATTAAATGTGGCGTGATTCCCACATACATATAATAGCAATTTACTTATACAATATCCTGTCAAACAGGACCTAAAGTCATTGTAGCAAATGCAGTAAGAAACGTACATACACGTATTATGAGGTATAATTAAACAATTTAATAATTTCAAGATCAATTTTTACAGCATAGTGATGAGAGTACAAAAGAAAACTAAAAGTGTACACTTGTATATAAGCCTTCTTTCAGAGCAACATAATTTGCCTATTGAGAGTTGTTGTTTTTGTTTACACTAACTTATATTTACTCTTGCGCGCAAAATTAGTTCTCTCTTTGTTACATCTACTTAGATTTCGAAAAGACACTATGTTTATTATTCACTAGTTACTGACTCTTTCTCTTGTCTCGGGTGCATCTCTAAGTGCCTAACAGTAGCTTATTACTCCAGTCTATAATCTATCTGTTTACCTACTAAATTTCATCCAAATCTGTCTAAACATTACAGCGTGAAGGAGTAACAAACAAACACACACATAAAAAAACTTTTGCAGTAATAGTCGTCTGATTCCATCATTTGTACAATAATTATATGGGCACTAGCGACTCATTCTTCATTTCGTCCCTAGCTTGCTTTCCAATATAAACTTTGATCTCTATTTTCACCCCCTTAACAGATGATTTGCGAGATAAAAAGTATTCTATGTCCTTTCCAGGGTCTCACACTATCTTCTTACCAAATGTCATCTAAATCGGTTCAGTAAATCCAGAAATTACCCCCTACACCGTCACAAACTAACTCTTTATAATATTAGTATAGATAACCTACTCGTACATATTCTAGTAGTCCTAGAAACCTATAGTAACCTATACTCGTAACTATTCGGTAGGTGGTGGTCTACTAGTAGTACATTCATCACGGACTTACATACTAACATTCAATTTAACTTGTAAAAATATAAAATTTGATGATTCAAATGTGCTTGTAAAAGTGTGTTTGAATAAAATGTATTTTGATTTGATTTCATTTTTGAAGTCAGATAATTAAATCCAATAAACAGAAGACAAATTAGTTAGTAGATTTGACTTATATTCAATGAAATTTATTTGTTATACAACATTTGTATTAAAAGTTACAGTACTAACATATCTTATCTAAAGACATCAAGTGTTAAGATTATTTATTTATATAGGTATCACTCGAGTTAATTATATCTATTGAAACTTATCGAGATGAAGCAATCGATTAGGAGAGATTACAAAACTTTTTCATAACCGCGGTGAAGCCGAAAATATGGTTACATAATATTTTCTTAGATTTACGCGAATATTTGTCATTTTCCAGTAAAACTATCTTTACGGTTTTTTTGCGGTTTTATTGATTTGATTCCCGACGATTTGAATGCTTTACAGCAATCATGGTCACAGGAGAGACTAAGGTTTTTAATTTCTCAAAGATCATTCATTATGTAGTTGTTAGAGACAGTGCCTACCTTACAGTATTTGTTAATTTAGTTTTAAACGTTTTTATATTTTTAATAAGATTCAAAACTTAAAATAGAAATATTTCTGATTTAATTTTAGTTGTTATTATTATAATTATTGCATTTTTTACAACTTTATTAATTAGCAATCTTATTTAGTGTTACTATTATTATATTTATAAACATAAATAAAATATTCAAGCAATATTATTGTTCTATATGTAATTTAAAAAAGTTAAAAAAGTAATATACAAATAAATCCGCGAAAAATTCCGAAAAGATAGTTTTATTTAAGATGGTTACAAGTTTTTCAAGAAGAATCCCCCTAAATGTAACAGAAGGTACCGTTGTAGTTTGAAAAATATAATTTTATATCGCATTTTGTTAATAATAATAGGTAATTAAAATATGTATGTATGTATTCAGCCCTTTTTGATGTCCCACTGCTGGGCACGGGTCCAAAAAATCTTTTGAAAACTTGCTAGGTTCTCTCAGACATACAGGATTCCTGACGATGTTTTCCTTCACCGTTAAGACAAGTGGTAATCATGTTGGAAATGATTCGCACATGAAAATATCAGAGGTGCGAGACCCGGGACTCGGTTTCTCAAGCGAGCGCGTCACCACTGTCTTAATTAAAATATGCCCGATAGAAATGTCCAGATCTGACCAGGTCCTCCCTAACTGTGAGATAATACAAATCAATGTATGTAGTAAAAAAAGAAATCCTAAAATATTCTCATTTATAGTATCTTAAAATTCACTCTTGCTGTGAACTATTAATATTTAAATACCATTCATATAAAAAAAATGTACGCTTCGAATTGAGAACCTCCTTTTTTCATCGGTTAAAAATAGAAGGCAATTTAAACATCAGTTGCTTGAGTCACGTGTGAATAACCAAATAATGGTTTTTTTTTTAAATACATTGAAACAAAATATAAACTTGACTAATAAATTATACTTGACTTCAAAATAACCTTAAATTGAAAAAAAAAACATTCAAAGAAGTTTATTTTTTCTTGAAACATAAAGGAGTCTTAGGTAGTTAAATGTTACTTATATTCCACCTTGATATTTACCTTTTACGTTATAGAAATCTCTAATAAACTCGGTTTCTAGACGTTTGTAAATGTAAAATAAGCTAAAACTGAAATGGTATGACTATTTTAAATCTTAGTACAGACAATGCAATTGTACTATGACGTTTTAAGGAAGTTGTTAAAACTTTGAGTATACAAAGTGTGACATCCTTCTTTATTTATTTTTTCCTGTTCTAATAATTGCAAGCACC